TCACTATACTATAACACAACTATCATGAAATAATTCTGTGATCACACTACGTCGGATCAATTCAGTTACTTTAGAATTCAATCAGAATTATAACATCTTCACAGTCAGTTTCAATTACGTTAGAAACTTTACAACTTCAGACACAACAGATCTAATACAACTCTGCCACCACACTGCGTCGGGTTGATTCAATTACTTTAGAATCTTACAGAATTATAAGAGACCAACAACAAGTTTCAGTTACTTTAGAAACTTTAAACTTAAGCACTTTGCTTCAGTTACTTTAGAAACAACGATTCCAATACAGCTCTGCCACCACACTACGTCGGGTTAATTCAGTTCCGTTAGAATTTTAAACAGAATTATACGAAATAGGCTTAAGAAATCCTCCTGCTAATACTGAATAAACTTATCTTCTATCCTTACAATTTCTTTTCTAGATTTTTTTAAACAATAATTCAACACAAAAGCATTTACTGAGCTCTCATGTTTGCAGATTGTTCCAGATAAATGTGAATCATAAGATTGTCAAATCAAGTCACCTATAGTTCTATAATGCTTTATACCAGAGGTCCCCAACCACCGGGTCGCGCCCCACTACCGGGCCGTGGAAGAATTGCTACTGGGTCGCAAGATAGTTCTGGGAAATATGTGTATAGATATGACTGTTATTTATTGCGTGTTAGTGATTGTTCTTATTATTAAGTATTTTCATTGTATGCGATTAACATTAAGTAGCAATTTGACGATTCATGTTATATAAGTAAATGAAAGATTGCTTGGATCTGTCAAATATTAGGGGTTAAACGGATCGCAGTTGATCCGTGATACGTAGGGATGAGACCCTATACTGGTCGGCACGCTCGTGATTCGCAGAATAATCTGCCAATTTACACGTTCCTCTTTGTTTCCTCTTTTATATCCATTAAAATTCAGGAAATTGAAGTAGATCACAGTTGATTTATTAATCTTGAATGTTACAAAAATAAACTGATGCAACTTAACATTGAAAGTAAAATACAAAATAATTCAAGCTGCAAATTACAAGAGCACCAGAAAAACATTGAAAGGGAGAAAGAAGCTCTAAAGACCGTGTGCTCCCAGTAGACCACGCCATCTCATTAGACACCTGTGGCTTTATCTTATGGTTTGACACGCACGTGATTCGCAGAATAATCTGCCAGTTTACACGTTCCTCTTTGTTTCCTTTTATATCCATTAAAATTCAGGAAATTGAAGTAGATCACATTTGATTTATTAATCTTGAATGTTACAAAAATAAACTGATGCAACTTAACATTGAAAGTAAAATACAAAATAATTCAAGCTGCAAATTACAAGAGCACCAGAAAAACATTGAAAGGGAGAAAGAAGCTCTAAAGACCGTGTGCTCCCAGTAGACCACGCTTTAGATAATGTTTCTTTGTCATGTTGCTTGTAACGTCTGGTTAGGACAGAGTCGTCCAGATATTTTATTGCTTGATGCATTATTGTGTCACAACTGATGAGGCCGCAGCATCAGATCTGAAAGTGCTGGATCTGAAGATGATCTACTTACTGTGATTGTTTTTTGTATGTCTGTGTAGACAAGATGATTGAATGAAACGCTGTTGTAGTAATGCAAAACTCTTTCCACACAAATAACATGAATGCAGCTTCTCCTTTGTATGAACTCTCAGGTGATTCTTCAGGTATGATGCTCTCAAAAATGTTTTTCTGCACTGATCACATGTGTACAGTTTCTCTCCGATCACACGTGTAAGGTTTCTCTCCAGTGTGGATCCTCTCATGTGTTTTCAGATTTGATGACACACTGAATCTCTTGTCACAGTGTGAACACTTATAAGGTTTTTCTCCAGTGTGAATCATCTGGTGCTGTTTTAAACTGCTTGCTGAAGTAAAAGTCTTTTCACACTCAAAGCACATGTACTCTCTCACACCAGTATGTATTTTCTGATGTACTTTTAAATGTTGTAGTAATGAAAAGCTCTTTCCACACAAATAACATGAATGTGGTTTCTCCTTTCTATGAACTCTCAGGTGATTCTTCAGGTATGAAGCTCTCAAAAATGTTTTGCTGCATTGATCACACGTGTGTGGTTTCCCTCCAGTGTGGATGTTCATGTGTTTCTTAAGGTTTGATGATTCTGTGAAACTCTTCCCGCACTGATCACAAGTGAATGGTTTCTCTCCAGTGTGAACTCTCATGTGAACATCAAGACTATATTTGCATGTCAAACTCCTTCCACACTGAGTGCAGGTGAAAGTGTTAATTAATTGTGTACATTAACCTAAAGTGTAAGCAGATGTTTGATTGTTTAGTTCTCTCCTCTA